TGACACCACCCGCGTCGACGCCTCGGCACTGGCGGCGGCAGGAACAACTTCCACCAAGGGCAAGTCCACAGCAGACCTACTCCGACCAGCGCGGCCACTAATGTATGATTAATGGCACCGGTGCAATAAGGCCTCTTTCCACCGGAGATTCCTACATTAATTCTCCTTACAGGGGGGTGTTCAGAAGGGCAAGTGATTGGCGAGCCATAAGACACACAACCAGTCAGATAGGATGCACGATGGGGTTCTCGTATCATCAAGGTTGAGTGTCCCGTCTATTGCCATATCTAATCATATCGTCACGGATGGCTGCCAAGGCCCATGGTTGCAATCTATTCCCCCTCCCCAAGCACGGATTATCGGGGTGATTATGGAGAATGCACGAGGACTAGTATGTAGATGAACCAGACAAAACCGACACTAGCAGAACGCAAGTGCGGTCCGGCTCTTGAAGATCACAGCATTCCGAGCCAGCAAAGCTTTGCCGGTTTCCACCGGGCTCGCGGTCCGACAAATGTGGGAGAGTGGATGGGGACCCGATGGAGATCACTTCACAGTCTTTTGCCAACTGTCCAGACCATCAGACTCTAATATTACCACTTCTCTCTACCGTGGTTGGCCAACAACCAACCACCACCTCCCCGCGATTCGGAACCCAACTGGCACCCGGACGCTTGATTTACCAAATGACATTGAATGGTGACTACTTACTATTCAGACAGATTACGTATTAATCTACAAGCGATCTTCAGCTTTCCTTGAGTTTCTATCTTCTGAGAGAAAAGAAAACAAAGTTGACTATAATATTGACGATGATGAAATTTTCTCATGCAAATGCAAAGCAGATCTGTTGCTCTCACCATTATTATTGACTCCAATTCCAGCCCAACCAGGGTGGGGAATCCGAGCGTTCGCCGAACCATTCCCGTTTGAGTCAAGGTCTCGTCCCCTGGGTCTGGATGTGAACTGCCTCATGCGGTGTTGCCACTGATTTCCCCCCCGGCGTTCGCGGCTGGAAGATCGCGGAGAGTAAGCGCTCCTGATCTTGGTTTCTGGATTATTATCCTCGTATTCCCATTGATCGAATGGCACGAGGCCTGAACGAGATCGAGTCTGCTTATTTTCTCGGTGGGGAAACACCAAGAGGATTCAATATCACTCATATAAAAGCTCCTCGGCTGCAATTTTCTTTGCTTCTTTCTATTTACTTTTTTTCCTCGCCCTGCTCGACGGGGATATCCGACAGACTTATCAGCGACTAGTGGTTATCACACTCATTAATATAATATGTCCTGGGTACTCCGAGCGCTTTTTTTCAATTATGTTGACCGTGGCTCGGTGAAAGTTGGTCGTGCGCCGAGCGTTTGCCGAGAAAACGCAGAGGTGGGGGCGGATATCCATGGACCATCAATGACTGCAGTCTGGAAAGAAGTTGTGATTCGCCCACTGCTATTGTTCCAATTTTTGACTTGGGCGCGATGAACACCTGAGGCAAGACAACTTTCTGTCACTGTCACTACGGAATCGTAGTCAGCTCTGCTTCGTGCCAGTCGACCAGCCGGTGTGACATTCACATTGGTCGATAGTTCCGGCGCTCTGCAACTGCCGTGCATATCTCACTCGACAAATCCTCCCAGAGCCAGAAGGCTGGCTGGCTGGCTGGCTGGACCACCTTCTCATTAGCCAGGGTCTCCTGGGCCTCTAGCAGTCGATCATGGCGGACCGTAGCTGTAGCGTGCATGAATCTGGCCCCACGAGCTGAGATCCTGATATGTATCTTACTAGCATCTTCACATCCCCCGATGTAACTAGGATGTACCTAATACATACCTGATGACCTTCTTACATGGGGGTATTCACGGTAAGACCCAAAGCACGCGAAAATTATCCGATCGATGCCTAGTAAGATACCACAGGGCTGCAGTAACGAATCCCTCGGGTGAACTTGACTGTAATATCTTACCAACACACCAACTCAACTTCAATAGTGAGTAGTAGACACCACCTCAGCGACATCGGACCCTCAAACCTAACTCACCAAGTTACTTACCAATAATCATCAATCAGTATCTAAGCTGAAGCAACTCCCTTGGCAACTCCAAGTAACTATGAATCACCGCAAACGTCATCACTACAGCACAAACCCATAGTTCCTAAGTAGTAAATCTAATTCAAAATGTGAAATAAATAATATAATTAGTCTCGTGCTAATCCTTCCAGGCAACAACTAGTTACAAAATGGCATTTGCCCAGAAATTGTAATTTAAAGTTTCACCAACCAGGACCAATTAATCCCTTTTCCATTCCTTCTCGTCACTTCCTCCAACCAATCCAACGCTCTCTTTTTTTGGGAAGGATCGCTTTACCCCGCGGTGGGTAAGATACCTACTTCTTACTCAGGCTAACTCAAACTCAGATCTTCCGGGGTTGGTGGTGGTGGTGGCTTAGTAGCTAGGTGGAAAACTGGTACCTCCACGTTTTTATGGCCATGGTTTCAAATTTACGGTGCTGTTACGGGTTGGTTATTTGGGTGGGGTTTGATACGAGACTTGAGTTAATTGTGACTAGTTGCTGCTGCTTAGTAGTAGTAGGATTTGATGAAGGATCGGCATGCATGATGGAGTTTGTGTTGGGGTTTGATTAGGTGGTTGGTTGGTAGGTTGGTTGCAGATAAATAGGTTGGCACTGTGCTACTCGTTAATTAGTCATTGACTAACTAGGGTTGCTTGACTAGATTGTTTCATTGCTATAGTGGGTTTGAGATGGCTAACTAGCTAGACTAGAAGTGAACAAGTGGGTGTTTTAAGATCGTAGTTCACTTTCAAGAGAAATCCTCCTCTATGTCCCCTGATTGTTGGGTAAGGTAGGCGTTGACTGCGGGGCTTGACATGAGAGTTTCCCGCTGTTGTTTGAAGGATCGACAATTAGTATCTTTTGGTTATGTTTGATTTATTGTGTGGGGTTTACAATATGGGGTAAGGAGTAGCGAACGGGAATATCACACAACGTACCTGGTTAACGAGGTCCTCGATTGCCCGTTCCATAAGCTTTGACTCCAGCTCTCGTAACCTCAAGATTGTTTGAAACACAAATGGTTCGAAAATCGCACGCATGTCTTCGTTCTCGCGGATCTCGCTAATCATCATGTCGGTTTGGCGGAGGACGAAGAATTGGGTCTCCAACCGCTCGAGGATGAGCACCACCGCACGAAGCTGGTAGATATCCCATTGGGGATCTGCAGCTAGCAAGTCCCTGAGACAGCTTGCGTCCCTTACTTCCTGCTCCTTCCAGGTAGCTTTAAGTTCCCTGCCGCCGTCGGTGGTTTGAAGGACGTTGAAGTCTAGCCCATCTTCCTCGTTCACGCATGCCCACCAGATGATGGGGCTGTCCCAGGTTGTAGTTGCGGCTGTGCCTGAGCCGCTAGAAGAAGTAGATATCTTGACTCCGGGTGTATCTTTGCAAAATGCTTTCTTTGCTATCTTCAAAGGATCGTCATCTGGGATGTCCAAGTCAAGGAAGATCTGCTTCGCGTCCGTGGTATGCTCGTCGAGGAATCCATATGAGAAAATCATTTCTGAGGCAGACTTTTCATCACCATACCTTAATATTGTCAGTCTAAGAAGGTTCAACCCACAAGTAGTCAATATAAGACAGTACTTACGAGATCGTGACCTCCTCATCAGCCCGCAAGCCCCGTCCATCCCGCAGCTGCAACACAGCATTCCCATCGGCATCCTCGTCATATAAAGCCTTGACCGTCCCTTCCGTAGCATGGTTTGCCATATCAATACACGGAACCATTGCATGACCATGCCGAGGCAGATCTACCATGCGTGACCGGTACAGCGCATCGACGTATTTCCAGTCGTTGAACGTCAGCTTTCCCGTATCCTCATCCCACCAATACTTTTCACACCAGTCCAAGCCTTCTGTGTTCTGACGCAGGTGTTCAAATTCTTTCTCCAGCGAGGCAATCTTCGCATGCACAGCCAACCTCAATGAGGAGCCGCGCAAGAGCTCTAACTCCTCTTCACTGTAGAATGTAGGCAAAGGTATAGAAGACGGCATATACTTCATATATTCGGTCCAAGGGCTCGATAGTCCAATCTGGTGGCGCTCATGCGCATAATCCGGGCTAGAGTGGGTAAGTTGCACGAGAAGGAAGATTAATATAGCGCCTCTGGCTGTCTGTACAGATCAGCATAGAATCAACACGAGCTCATCCGTCTTTCCGAAGAAGCCATAAACACGGTATCTGTTCGGCCGAGATCGGAGTACAATGAGGAAATAAGACCTACTCTTCCGAAGTCTCCGACGGCTTCTAATACCTCACGGAGCTGTCTATCCGATTTGGAGTATTCTTCAACAAAATCGAATGATAGAACCAAGTCAGATGGTACTCGCAAAAGTACCTCCGACTCTACCGCGTCGCTTTCTTCATTGCCACCTGCTTTCACCTCAGTTGCAACAATTGCAGACCCCTTGTCGGTGCCATCATCTGCTTGCAATTTGCGGAAAGCGATACCATTGACGGAGACCCCATTGAGCTTTATCCACGACGGAAGCGTCTCGATTGGATAGTATTCGTGCTTCATCTTGTTAAGTTTCAGTTACGGGGCGTTACTTTTGTGAAAGTAAATGCGTACGAACACTATAAAGCGAGCATGGTGCAGTCTGCGACGTACAGGTCAGGTGTTTGCTTGTCCTTATCGATAAGAAGGCGGGGAGCTATCCCCATGCCCTAAGCCCTATCCATGACCGTTGATCGCAACTGGGGTACATTGCGGCATGTAGACGTCATACAAAAGCTGTCGAGCCGGATTCTCCAGGCGAACTCGATCGGACCTTAGCTAGTATTAATTGAAACTGCGGGGATGTTCTGACTTAACCCGGACAGACAAGTTATTATTCTTGCTATACGTGAAAGACATAGTGCTGCGTCAATAAGAACCACTTCTACCACAAGGTCTACTAGTTGCTTCAGTACTACAACGACCAATATGCCTGCCAACACCCGCATTCAGTCTTCAGCTTCAAAGCTCCATAATCTGCTTGTACCCCGGCCTCCAACACCGTGTCTGCTTCCACTGCGCTCCATCTGGCAGCCCGCTGCGATTCATACTCCAAGAAGCGTGCAGGCACGTCTGAACAGCGGCCTGGGCAAAGAGTGGAAGGGTACTGGGGCGGAGGATAATGCAGTTAACCGGGCAGAGAAAAGTGATACCACAGACCCAACAACAGATGCATCAGCATCTGTCATGCAGGACAGAAAGGAGGGCGGGGGTAACGACGCAAAGCCTCAGGGAGCAACAGAAAAGGGAGGCAGTCAGCATGGGAAGAAGGCGAAGCAGGAGCATCCGAAGGCACCAGAGCCAATTATTGGAATGAATGATGAGAGAGGCCATGTAAGTGCCAATGCAAAAGCCGTACAAGCCTATGCAATCATTATAAACCTCGCGGAGTTCAGTTGAATGGCTAACTGGTTTTTGCTCTGATAGAAGGGTCATTAAGCCCAGGATCATATAATGATAATTGGAAAAGCTCAGAAGCGGTTTAAGTGGGACTGGAAGACGCTAGTCTTGGAGCTATATCATCTCAGTACTTGTGTTTCATTATCATGTTGACTGTACATAAAATCTTGAATAGCAGGATCTATCGACCAGGTTTGAACGACAGCACCTAAAATAAGAAGGTTAGCTTTGGCGCAAGCAGTTTGATTGAAACGGGAAATCCTACATCGTGCTTTCCTACTTCCACTATTTCGTCCTCTGAGACACGGGTGCCACCGACTCCTTCAATGTAGGAGATGGGTACATCACCCATCACCTTGCGAGCAACGTCGCCCACAGTGGTATTCCTGTTCGGCGTCAGAAGGTCCAACTGAAGGGATAGGTTTCATATCAGGGCCACTCACTTGCCAACAAGAACGCAATCGCGGAACACAGCCGTACCGGCACCAGAAGAGAAAGTGGAGATGTTGCGAACGGGAAAGACAGGCACGAGTCCCAGCAGTTCTGCCGCGCGTGAAAGGCATTGAACAACTCCTGTAGACCCGAAACGATAAAGCACCATGTCTTTCAAGTTCTCAACGCGCCTATGTGCATGTTAGCATGGCCCTACTGAAAAGGGCGTATATAGTGTTTTCGTACTGTGTGAGTTTCTCGTCCATTTCCTTGAGGCCGCCTCCATCAGGATCACCCATCTCGATAAGGTCCTCCCTTGTATCCAAGAACTCGCTTCCTTCGACGTACTTGATGTATCCCTGTTTTGCTAGCCTGCGAAGGAAAACTTCTGAAATGGCGGAGCAGAGTACGATTGTTTGAGGATCTTGCATCTTTGCGATTTTGCTAATGTTCTAGGCCCACTTGTCAGTAACGACAGCAACATGGTGACTTGAGAGGAATGACCAACCTTGTCTGCATCCGGATGATCGATTTTGTTCAAGGCGAAGACTGTCGGGAACTTTTCTGCGATGAAGGCTTCAACGACCTTCTCAACGGTCTCATCAGACCACTCCTCGAGAGGCTCTTTCAGCCCCATCCGATCCAGGCATCGGGCAACAATCGCATTTGTACCTCCGTAACCGGAAAACTGGGCCTGCAAGGTATCCACGGCCGTAGCCTCTGATGTTTATTAGCACAAAAAGATGCTTCTGGCTGATTTATGACCAAACTTACTGACTGCCATGTGCCTCCTCTTGATGGAACCCCTGCACAGTATTAGCCCTGATCATGTAGCTCCTGGCGCGCAAGCATACCATTTCTGCATGAGATTTCCCAGAACCCAGCGTACAATTTCCGACCTCAGCCATTCAATATCCTGTGAAGGATCGTATCCTCGTGTAGCTTTGCCTGTATTTGTCAAGTGCGACATCAGTAATGCCGTTCCGATATTTGTCCAGATATTTAAGATTCCATACCTTCCGCATCGGTTGTTCCACTAACGTCCACAACGTGGATTAAGGCATCGGCATGGCGCAGGTCATCCAAAAACTTGTTACCCAGACCGCGTCCTTGGTGTGCACCTGGTACAAGACCTGCGACATCCAGAAGTTCAATGGGAACAGAGCGCCGTCCCTCCACACATCCTCCGTAGTTCGGCTTGCACTTATCGGAGACATTGAATCGTTGACAGGCGCATTCTATCTGAAGGTAGCCAATGGCGCGCTGAGGATCGATGGTAGTGAAACTGTGTTTCGCCAGTCAGAACAGCTTTGATAAACGGTCCATTGCGGCGTCCGAAGGGCGATATCGATATCGATGTAGGACGATAACGGCAATAGGATTGAACATACGGGAAATTTCCTGGATGTGAAACATGATATAAGTTTGTGCTCCGACACAATTCAAAGTGCAGAACTTAAGTAGCTTACCGACTTTGGAAGAGGCATCTGTCAGACTATTTAATGTGGTCGATTTTCCGCTGGATGGCTACATGCCCCTCACTTCGATCAGCGGCGTCTCGTATGAGGGGTAAAAGAATCCCAGACCTTTCCGACCAGCCCAATTAACGGATCTCTAGGCATTTTACAACGCGCGCAGCAATTCTAAGGTATATGAGCAAGAAAAGAATGATTTTAAGAAAATAACATCGATCTGATCGCTTGAGTGTTGGAGAAATCATTTCTGCATCAGCGGGGAGACAATCAATTTCTGCCATCCTCCCTAGGAAGGCGGTCTGAGGCCGCTGTTCCCGATCGAGACCCCGATTGTCCCTGACTCTGAACAAGATCTCTTCGATATAATTCCGTTCTTAAAGATTAACGTTGATTAACACTGATAGGTTTGACGCTACTAACGATGCTTGGAGCTGCCACAAAGTCCAGTGGTTTTATGCTACGTCTGTGGGGTGCAATAGCCTACGCGTTGTGACAAGCATCGCTTTCGGTCCGTCCTCAGATTAAGAGTCGCCCTTGATAGTATTGTCTTCTCCGAAACAGTCGGAGATCAAGCCTAAGATCATATCTTTATGACCTTTGATTCTGATATGGAAAGTCTGTGACTCGAGTAAGATGCCGAAGACTCACTTCACTGGATTAGACTTAGCCCAATGTCCAAGCCCAACTACACCTATATCAACCAGAGATACGTATTCTCGAGTATAGGCATGAATTGAGTCTTGCCTGAGATGTGTTATGCATCATTATCGGGGAGCAGTACTCGTGTTGAATGCAGTGCTGTATAGCAAGATCATGTCTCATCCGCAGACTTATGCATCGATAGCACTCGAAAATCGTCGGACACTGAAGTGGTACGTCACTCCCCGAGACTGGGGAAAATGTCTGCTTAGCATGTCTACATCTCAACGAGCATTGACCCCGCTTTGGGCTGCATGATGATGTCCCTGGATTGTTCTATCTTCAGTATCAGATCTGATATGGCATCACAGGCGTGCTGATCCCATGTACCTGGGGCTTGGCTTAGAGCGACTACTGTTTCTTCACCGGGTGACAATAGAGGTGAATATGTAATAAAAATGGGTCAAGAAGTTAAAGGAATGAGAAGGAATGATAGATTCCAGGTACACACTAACAGCATTCTGCTATGCGGAGAACTGTCGTTATTGTTGCCATCATCGATCAGACAACTCCAAGGCTTCAGGGGACGCTGTTTCACCGGCAACTTCTGATATTCCCTCATCCAATAGAACGATTCCCGGTGAAGACTTGTCTTATTCGTTCATAGTCTCCATAATTGAGTGGACACTGTAGCCCCAATGATGAAGGGGTCAATGATGCTGGGTTGGTTGCAAGGCGAACCAAGGTGTAGCCGGCTTGTATGACGTCGTCGCGGCCAACGTCACCAGCCACGCCCATCGGTTCTCGTCCACTGCAACAACATATTAAAGGTACATTGATCCCATCAGAATAATTTTAACAATCAATCAACTCTCAATCCATCATCACGAACAATCTATCGCATCTCAAACCACAAACTTCACCTCAACTACCACTTCATCTACCACACACATACAATCTCATCCAAAATGTCCGAACAGACTTTCCACACTACCATCCAGGACATCCGCAAGCCTGAGTCCCATGCCTCCCATGCTCATGATGGCAAGACCCCCAAGAACTCTAACGTCTCCGCTATGAAGGTAATTCCTCACTTGACTTGATATCTCGTTTGAAAAAATACTAATAATATACTCCAGTCCATCATCGATGAGAACACCGACAAGCAGGCTCAGATCGATAAGGCCCAGTCCAACCTGCCATTGCCCGAGGATCCCCCTCGTGCTAGCGACTGGAACTCTATGGACCAGAGAACTGTCAACGTCGGTTCGGGTGGTCGCGAAGGCCCCGTTTCGGGCGAGAACAACAGCGCCTTGAGGGAACCCGCAACTGCAAGCAGCAGCGTCCGGGTGTCTGGAGAGGAATACCACAAGAACACACAACCCATGAGCGGTGTTGGACGCCAGGGCAAGGATAACCTTGAAGGTCTGCCCCGGGATGCTCTTTACCGGTAAATGGGATATTATGAATTAATGTTGGGGAGGGCGTATTGACTACGGCCTATCTTTATGTGTACTATTATGACTTGAGCATTTTATGAACCAAAATGGATGTCCTATAGCCATTGCTACTTACTGCTATTTTTCTCATGGTCGTATCGCATCTTCATTTCCTATAGTTAAGAGTATACCAGTAGTGCCAATGTAGATTGCTATTTGAGATAGGTTGATTCACCTTCAATCCACTTGTATGCTATAAATATATTATCTACCCGCGTGGGAACTGAAAGACGCATTATTTGTTTCATGTGCTTGATTGACCAGCTACATTAGGCATTGATCTGTAAATGCTAGTACTAGATGAATAAAAGCTTCATCATATTCTAGCCTACTTTGGTAGATGTCAAGTAGGCCAAGCAATACTACACAGCCGGTCCAATCGGCTTGCGGACAGAAACCCTAGAGCCTTTCAATCAAACGGCACGTTAAAGACCGTAGCAGCTAGAGAACGAAAAACATCTCATAAAGCATATCGATTGCCATGCATTGAACACATATCCGTAGTAACAAAAGAGATGAGAGAGAGCGTTCCTCATACACCCAACCACCATGACGTCATACCAGCAATACCACCAAGAGCGCCAGCAAAGCATCCAAATCGCCAATATCTACGCAATAGAGAGAGAACAAAAACATCATAGCAACGAACCATAAGCAAGAGCTCATACCCTATTAGTTCTACCGGAAATGGCAATCAGACATGTGGGTGGATCCGACCGAAGTTGTCTGGGCCCTCAAGGGCAACATCCGGCCCCAAAGGGGAAGGGGCGAGGGGGGGAGGGGCCGGATTCCCCTGCAGAGAACAACAGCCCAATTTCGCTGATCTGGAAGACCTGGAATTCCTGTCTTGCTTGTTCTCCCTTCTCGTTTGATGGTTTAGTTTTAATTGACGCCACAACTGGAGACCAGATACTGCTCGTTGACGTACCTTGTTCGCTTGTTCTCTGTTGAATTCGGTGGACTCGTCGTAATGTCAGTATGACATCATGTGCTGGGATGAACTCAAGCAAGCGCTCAGACTCGGGGGAAGTTGACGCCATCCGTTTCTTTTGGCTCACTCGGTCGTAGAGTATATAGATGGGTTGTTGGATGGGTTAGCAGTTTGATTCATTCATCTAACAATCAATCAATCAATCAATCAATCAATCAACTATATCAGTCCAGTAATTTACTCCTCTTAACACTACTATTATCATACTTCTATACCACATATAACAACCATTATCACTATGGATCTCCAAGGACAGCCCATCCCCCCTGGCCAGAGAAGCACTAAGGTATCAATTTCCTTCAACACTTCCCAAGTTACAATTGAGGCATAGATGCTAACATCAATAAAGGTCACCTCCGACCCCGAGCGCAGAAACAACCCCATCCAGGAGCCCTCTGGCCCCATCACCAACGACTCCTTGGCCGCCGAATCAGCCACCCAGGGCGGCGCTTTCTCTCAGAATCGCGGAGCCCAGCCTATGGGCGTTTCCGCAGGTCAATCCACCGTCCGAAACACCGATACCAGTTCCGCTACCAAGCTCGACTCTAGTAACACCGACACCCAGGGTAGATACCCCGAGGGTCTAGGCGGACAGGGCGACTACCCTGGCGCTCACCTTCCCGAGTCCGGCTACGTCGGTGGTCCCACTGCTGCGCAGAAGGAAATCGGTATCGGCCAGGGCCAGTACCCTGCTTCCCAGAAGCTGTCTCAGCAGCAACAGTCCTCTGGAGGAAGAAGCGGCGGTGCTAGCTACTCCCAGCAGCAGCAGCAGCCCGCTCAGGCTAGTGGCAGCGGCTACAGTAGCCAGTACAATGCTGGAGCTGCGCCGTCTTACGTCCACGATGTGACTGGTAGCTTGAGTGACAGCAAGCCCAAGGGTGCCAACCTGAAGGAAGGAGATATTCCTGATGATGCGCCGAACGCTAGCTGGACTACTGATATCGGTAGCGAGAATGACCCCGGTCGGTTGGCGCAGGGTGGCTTCCAGCGGAAGACTGCTGAGAGTGGTCCTGACGGTACCAATGCCGGTAGACAGAAGGGCATCGATAACCAGCACCCGTACCAGGCTTTGCAGTCGGACCAGAGGGCTTGATTTTTGGGCCATTGATGGATGATGTTATGAAAAGCAAAGCGCGTCTCATTATATTTTTGAATTTTCCCCGTGTGTACTGTTTTTGGGGGTTTGGAAGGAATGGGCTTATTCTTTGGGAAGGACTGCGTCCTTCCTTTCCTGTATTAGTGTATCTATCTAGATGATATGAACAACCAGAGACTGACCAGATCATTGATCATTTCTTCTGTGTTGTAATGTCCAATGTAGCTCAACGTCTGCCATGATGCACATGCTGCTGCGGCTGTAGTGGAGGATGGGGCTATGGTAATTTGTCCAAAAAGTAGCTTAGAGCCGACATTGATATTATATAGCCGGCCTCTGACCACGTTTGTCTAAAGACCAATATTAGTTATATACACAGTCTTCGCCCGTGCCGGTTCAGGCCGGAGGAAGAAACGCCGCAAAAAGTACACCCTGCACAGCAGCGTATATCACCATGTACTGAACGATTATCTGCCAATAACCATTTTGATCATTGGTCTTCTCCAGCTGCCGCTTCGATGCAGTTGAAGGACTAGTGTACCTGTTCATGATCAAAGTCGCTGTCCAAATATACCACACTGGGTAACCAGAGGCCAATCGTGTGATGATCTGCACATGATTGCAGAAAAACACCATGACGGCAAGGGTAATCTGAGGAGCTGCCAGGCTACGCAATAAACGACCTGTCAGTTGGCCTGTCGGGAACCCTGGCTGCGTTGTATTCGTGGGTGTTTCCCTCCGCCTAGAATCCACCCCGAGCGTCCAAATGGCAGAGTACACCAAGATGACCAACATTGGACTAGCCAGTGCAAACAATGGCACGTTGGACAGAGTCCAATATCGAAGAAAGCCATTGTCCCTGCATACGTCAGCGAAAATTGACAAAGGCGAGATAAGACACCTACCAGTAATGGTCTTGAACGAAGCTGTATATACTGGGTATAGTTCGATGACACCAATCTCTTGACGGGTCTTCGTGGGTGGCAGTGTATGTACCACAGAAGTGCTGGTAGGCTATATATTGCGGCAACACGAACCCGAGCCCCGTGCAGATACCTCCGAGACCGACCGCAACCAAGCGGCGAAATTTGGCAAAGCTTAAGTCCCGCGTCAACGAATACAAGACTCGACATGCTTCTTCGAAAAGAACGATGCCATTGAGCAGACCATTCCCACGAATAGCGGTGGATAAGCCGTATAGGACACCCGCAAGCACTAGAAGACTATCTTGGATGCCGGTGGAGACGCCGCGAGCACCCAAACTTTGAGCAAAGAGAAGAGTGCCCGTGAAGCTTAGGAGAGAATACGTGCTCTCCGTGCAGGGAGCAGATAGGAAAAGTCCAGCAGGCGAGATAATGTGCAGGCATGCTGCGATAAAAGCTAGCTTGCGCCCTTGCGCTGTAGGGAATATAGTGCATGCCAGACGATAGAGAACTACCACCGAGGTAGCATGAGCTGCGTGGGAAATGGCAATACCGAGTGCACTATGCTTGAATTCATAGGGGAATGCCCCTATGTGTGTAAATCCTAGCAGAAATCTTAGAACACAGAAAATTGGCTTATGGGGTGCATGAAACACGCCTACCACTGGCCAATAGATTAATGAACTTGGAGAACGCATAACTGAATGCCCATTCTTGCTCGAAGAGATGGCCTCGTCTGGCCGCTTCAGTGAAGTAGATGGAGTCCCATCTCGTCAATTTGGTGGATATCCGCCTCAAGGTCGATGGGATGATTCCTTCTATTTCACTTGTGTTCTTGTGCCATGGAAATAAGGTCGTGGAGGTATCATACCCGGGACCGGGAGTTAAGATGGCCAGGAGAAGCAATAAGGCCTTCCAGAGGAGAAAGACGGAAAATAAAGACCGATAGGGATGACGGAAGGAGCTTCGTGTAAGCCACGACATGTTACACTAACTGTCTGGCTTTACCCCAGCTCGTTTTCAATAATGCTGGTCATAGAAGGTTGAACTCCTCGAAGTGGTTGGTTACATGTTCCATTAACTCCGTATTGCTTTTCCTCCCCGAATTAAGGCACACGCTAAGCCGCCTTGGGCATTTCTTCCATGTCGAATGATCCATCAAGGCGACGATATCTTCCCACGCAAAGATGAGCAACCCCCAGGAGAAATGGTCTCAAATGTCGTTATTCCTCTGAAATGCGGGCTCTCCTGCTTACCCCTCTTTCTGTCAATCTTTTCTCTTTCCGCATCCCTGACAATGGAAGCAAGAATGGTCCCCATTGGCTCTCTGTATATTCGAACAGCTTACGAAGGCTCTGGTCAAGATTGGGATTTTTATTGTATACTTCCTGCCTTTTTTTCATACACCATGTGAGAACGCCGGATTTGCAACGGACACATCATAAAAGATCAACCCAATGAACACGTCCTAAAGGCCAGACCCCGAAGACATGCACTGCCTTGTCAGACAACAAAGTGAAACTGTACAGCCATAGCAGCAAAGTGACAAGACACATAAAGAAGCCGTATAATTAAGAAACAACAGAGCAAAGGAAAAGGTGGATTCAGAAGTCCAGCTGAAAACTTCACAGGTTCACCTTCTTGGCCTCCTTCTGGGCGAGCTTGGCCAATTCCTCGAACACCTCGGTGAAGTCCTCTCCATCATCCTCACCGTCCTTCTTCTTGCCCTTGGAAGCCGACTTGGGCACAACCATCACGACACTGGTGGGGCGTTTCGTGGCGGCGGAGTTGCCGAGCTCAGCTCGGGATGTGACGAAGACGTAGGGGATACCGTGGTCCTCACACAGGACAGGGATGTGCGAGATAACGTCCATGGGCGAGATATCGGCGGCGAGAATGACGACACCGTTGGGGACACCGATGCTGGCGTTGGCAGCGGGAATGGGCGACTTGCGGAGAGCCTTGACGACCTCCTTGACACCGCGCTTCAGGCACTTGTTGACGGCAGCTATTATAAGTCAATACGTTAGCGATTATGTATTATGTGATAGATGCGCAGTCGATGCCAAACGGGGCAATCGTAAACCCTCAGGGCCAGAAGCTGGACCGGATCAGATCCACACTCCATCTCGTCAAAACCCAAAGCGAGCGCGGCAGAACTCTTAGAGAGCATGTGCAAAAGATAAAAGGATTCTTACCCTTCTTGACGCTCTTCAGGACCTTCTTGGCATTCTTGTCTTCGACCAGAGGGCTGGCAAAAGGAACAATGGCGCCAACGGGGCGGCTGTCAACGTCCATGCGCTCGGTCTCAGCACCATTGACAGGAGCCTCAGTGGCAGCCTGGTCAAGGCCATCGAGAACTTTAGTGGTGAGCTCCTTCTCGACGGCGTCGGCGAGAGCGACCTTGTCCTTCTTCTCCTTCTTCTCCTTCTTGCTGGTCTTGGAGACGCCGTCCTTCTCCGCGCGCTTCTCCTTCTTCTCGCGCTTGTCCTTCTTCTCGGTCCTTTCCTTAGCCATTGTGAATATTAGACCCACCCAGGGAGTTGAACTGAATCCGGAAGAGGGGGAAAGAGACGAGGAGAATGGCGACGGGCGTGGGGAGGAATAGTCGTCGGTCTCGTCGAAACCCGCAAAAATTCGAAATCCATTTCAAAATTTCGGCGCTAGTCCTCTTTAAGAATCAAAGCTTGCGCGGGCGGTGAGATGGATGACTCAGCCACATGCCTATCCGGGATGTCATCGCTCTCTTGTTGTTATCGAAAAACAATGAGGCACTTGCTGGCGCTGGGCCTGATGATTGCGCCCTTATGCTCAGTCTAAGGCTGGAATCTGCGGCGACTCAGGATACATATATGGAAATTACCGTTTCGGGTGAACTCATCCCGAAAACTCGTGTCGCACGATAATTACTATTGCCAGACCAATCCATCGTAAGTCGTCAAGTGCCGCCAGTTTGGCTCAAGGAAGCTAATGCGCCTCAGATGAATTCAAGCATCAATTCACGTCCTTCGCGGGACACCATGCGCGCAGAATCTCCCTTGTCACTTCCACCGGCACCCGACGCTTTGCAACAATCGGTCCGCTCAGTTTACCCCTCAAAGCCTGGTAGGTTAATGTTTTCTGTGTCTCAGGCTGCGCGTGATTCAAGACTAATGGCCTCTCTAGACACGGAAAAGGAGGAGCTGCTAGTACAGGTGAATACACTAAAGTATGAGCTAGAGAATTTCAAGCAAGAGAGGGATTTGATGGTCCTGCGTCATGAGAAGGAACTACGGGATTTGCAGCTCAAGGCAGATTCGGACTTCCGAAAAGCTCAGGTTTGTTCAATTCTTCAGTTACTACCTCACGTCTATTCCACTGACCACGTTTTCGTCCCATAGGCCGCAGAGAGTAACAGCCACCGGGCCACCCACAAGAGCGAGACCCTTGCGAAAGAGTTGAAAGAGACCCAAGACAATGCCCTCAATGAGAAAGCCGGCCTTGAGCGAAAGGTCAGAAGTCTTCAAGATCAGAATCAATTACTCCAAGAGGAGGTGGAAGACTCAAAGGCACAATCGCTCGATCAGGAAAGACAGTACAAATATCAGATCAGCGAGCTCGATACTATACGCTCGTCTTTACAAAAGACGATAGAGGAACTGCAGAATGAACTCCAAACTGTTCAGAGTGATATGCAGACTATACAAGAGAAGCTGCGTCAACGGGAAACCGAGGTTGCTGATTTGGAGACGGAAAATCTCCGGCTCAAGGCTGAAGGCACAGATAATGAAACACTCTCAGTTCTTAAGCGCGAACTTTCCGAACAAGTCAGCCATATTAGGAATCTGGAAACCACAAACCGTGAACAGAGCACAGAACTACGACACCTACGGAAGATACAGAAGAACGTTGAAGTTGTGGAGGAACAGAAGAGATCGTTGGAAAATCAACTGCAGTTGATGAAGGATGTGGAGTCACAATTGGGTACTGCTCAGATCCAAATTCAGATGCTGGAAGATGAGCGACGGTCTTGGACTAGTCTCTTGCAAGACAATGATCAGCCGGCCGAATTCGATTCCCCAGAAGCGGTTGTGAAGGCTTTGCTACAAGAGCGCATTGAAAAAGCCTCTCTTGTTGATAAGATAGGCAGTGTTGAGGCTCAGTTCCTGGAGAAGGACGAATCGATCAAGAACTTGGAGACAGAACGGATCACCCTGCGACAGGAGATTGAAAAACTCCGGAGCAGTGCCGGTTCTGTTGCGGGTGGAGCTATGGCAGAAAGCCGTATGAAAGCAAGACTTGAACGACAGCGGGCTCTCGCTGTGAAAGAAGTCGATTATTTGCGTGCCCAACTCAAGGCTTTCGACACGGAAGAGGTGACTATGAATCCGGAACAAAATCAATTCGATCAACAAAAGTCCGAGCAAATCGCCAATCTTGAGAAGCTCGTCGATGAGTATAGGGCCGAGCTTGAAAAGGCCCATGAAGAGCTTGCTAAAAGCGAACCTTCCCAGCAGGATGAATCTCAACCGCGCGGAATCAAACGACCTCTCTCTCCAGCAGAGAGCGATGCAGAAAGCGAACGTCTTTCTGTCTTGACTCGCAAGTATAGAACCCTGCAGGAGTCCTTTTCGAAATCCGAACAAGCAGCTACACTCCTGCGCAAAGAGCTCGAGGCAAGCAAGTCCCAGATCAAATCCCTCAAGGCTAGATCGCGTACCAGAATCCTCGAACTGCGTGACAATCCCACCGCCGAGGCAGAAAACCTCAAACTCTCCACTGTGAGGACCTTGAAGGCCGAGAACCAGGATCTCCTTGCTCAATTACGTGGCGATCACTCGGGCGTAAAGGTCGTTCCAGTGAGCACTTTGGAAAGCATGAAATTGGAAGTCCAAGACATGGAGCGAGTAGTCGCGGACAAAGAGAAGCGTATGCGGCGACTCAAGGAAATCTGGACGGCGAAGTCGTCGGAATTCCGCGAAGCTGTTGCGTCCCTGCTGGGATACAAACTGGACTTCCTTCCCAATGGTCGTGTCCGTGTCACCTCGATGTTCCATCTATCAGCTGCTTACAGACATGGTGATCACGATGCCCCGTCCGACTCCCGGGGCCCAGGAAGTATGGGCAACGGCGAGGAAAATTCAATAATCTTCGACGGAGAAAACGGCACGATGAAGATCTCGGGTGGTCCCAACAGCCTCTTTGCCATGGAGATCAAGCACCTCATTAAGTTCTGGGTCGAGGAAAGGAAGGATATTCCTTGTTTCCTTGCTGCTATGACGCTGGACTTTTTCGATAAGACCACTAGGGCTGCGCGCATGTAAGATATATGAGTCAGCCTAATGGGCATGTGGTTTAGTTCTATTTTGGCCATGCAAATTTCAATGTGATTCCCCGGCACACACGTATTATGGTGCCATGTTATAACATTTTCTATTCATGAAGACTCATGTCACCAACCTAAGGGTTGGTAGCAACTAGTAGTCCTTCTTACAGTGGTTCAAGAAGGGCTAATTACGCTCTAGCGTCATAGGTACCAATCTAACTCCCGTAGCAGTTTAGTCCGTATCCATGGCAACGTCTTCTGCATATCAGGTCATCGTGCTCAACGGCTGAACCCTAATTGTAACTGAAAGAAGACGCAGTAAGCGCAGAGGCTATTTCAAGGAAAACGTACAATTGTAGCACCTAATTGCAAGCACATGATAACGATACACTGAGGGGCATGAGTCAATGCGATAAGCTGAAAGAGGACAAGCAAGCGTAGACCAGTATCCCGTCTCCTTATGTGTAGTTAGACACCACTTAAGATGACTTCCAGGGTATTCAGTATTTGATTAGGATTTCTTTAGGTACGGCCAAGGTAATCCTCCTTCCCGATTAATGCTCATGTGCAGAGCATGTACAACCCTGATTTCCCATTACAGTGGAACTAATAATAACATGAACGAGCAGCTTATTTACAGGCCATTAACCAGGCTCAGCACGAGCTGGGAAAAAGGCCAGATAACGAGATTACATGACCAGGAAGGAAAGGATATCGGAAAAGACAAAGGAAAAATACAGCAGAAATGGCAGGAAAGATAGACTTGCTTTGCACAGGAGGATTGAAGTGTAGGGACATAGGGCGACACAGTAACGAGTACTGATGATGTTGATATACCGTGACGGGGAGGCTTTTTGACATATTTATCATGAGGTGCGAAAGGGCGACAGGACACGGCTCGCATCGTTGCCGAAGCCCTTGCGTTAAACAGTGTCTTTTGTTCGTGCACGAGTGGTGCGCAGGTAAACGCAAAATGTGGACCCAGCCTTAAGATGAGACATATTTACCCCCGAGCAGCTTTCGAGCAGTCGGGACATTCTTCCATTCAAAAGATGGCTGCAGTTCAGGAGTCTGACTGCCAGCCTCTTCGTCTGCAAAGGGATCAGAGCCCTTCACCAGATTAGTCGGGGAAGCGGTACTGATTCCCAGACGGGATCCATCATCAAGCGTGTGAACCTCGAACTTGGCATCGACCTTGCCCTGTCGTGGCCAACTGGCTGTCGTCGAGAATCGGACCAGCAACTTGGCATCAGAGCCAGCCTTGACTTCAAGTTCAGGAATCTTCCAGGTCACTGCAGACTGCTTGCGACGGAATGTTGCACCGGTGTTCGGGTACATGACGGCTGCTGTGGCATGAGCCACTTCGCGCCCTTCCACAGGAGACGTGTCCAGATTTACTGTCAAAACCAGATTCCTGAGGGTAATTGAGCCTCCTGGCGCAGACGTGAACGAGGAGTTGAGAGAATAGTAGATGATCGCACTGGCTTGGTGCTCTTCGAGATTCCACACTGGTTTGAAAATGACAGGGCAATAGGCTGCGGCAACGGAGGGCTCCATGTGAATTTGGTACTTGAAAGCTACCGTCGGCGAGGACCGAGCAATGCTAGCCAGGTTCACCTCGTATTCACCCCTCTTTTCATCAAATTGGTCCTTGCCTTTGTCTTCCGTCACGAAGTGTGGGTTTGCAGCCACCTTCTCAAGAATCTGGAAATTGTCAAGGCGAACCCGTGTGCTACCTGGAGTCACATCCGGTGTAGCATTGTATGCCAACGCAAGTTCTCCAACGACAAACGATTTGGATACCGCACCCTCAGTGAACCATGCACTGACTGTGTCAATGATAGATGCGTTTAGACCTGGCTCGTGAAGGTCGGGGTGCGAGACAGGACCCGGAGCACTATGTAGAGTATGAGACGAGCGAATCGAGGTTGTGTCGGACATGGCATGGTCGTCTGTAGCCGTGCTAGGCGAGGCAACATGCCTGGCTTGCAAAGATGGAGAGGTTGGAGCGGACGAATCCAAGGTTGATGGTATGGCGGGGAGGTCATTTCCTGGTGCAGGTGTAGGAATAAAGACAGTGTTACGGACATCGCGACGGCCACGTAAGGTTCCAGCATTTCGTCGGACACCACTCTGCTGAGCTCGCTGCATGGTAACATTAGCAACATGCGGTAGCAAAACATTCTACACATAGAACCCACCATTCTGAGCTGATTAGCCATATCATCCATCGCTTGCTTGGCTTGATCCTCGTCCTCGAAGATTGGCTGGTCTCGTATTGTCAAATTCATCCCGGGCTCCTCCAATCTGAGGAAAGTATTAGCCAAAACAATACATTCTCAAAGTGACAAAAACTGCTTACCCGGCCGCCTCTCTTTGGGCCCTGGTAATCTCGTCAATGGTCTCCGGACGCTCCGTGAAACCTTCTGAGTCGACTCGTGGCTGGTCGGTATATTAGCTCCGGGATTCACTGACAAATAATCTTTCCTACTTACCTCATTGCGTGACACGCCAGCAGCGGCAGTAATTTCTTCGGAAGGAGCTTCGTGAGATGTTGCTCCGTTAGCGGTAGCCGGTGCTGATTGGGGCATCGCAGTGGATGTCGCGCCAGCGAATCCCTCATGCTCATGAGATTCACTCGAGACAGCTGGAGGCTCAGTATCCTGGGTAGTCATGGCAGTGCTGGGGCGCTCCATTCCTTCGGTTGGGGTCTCCGGAATCTGCAACTCGCGCGAATCACCCCTCTTAAAGGAGGCAAACGGACTGCGGTGTTTTTTATCGGAGAAGAAGGGACCAGCGCTAGAAGGCTGAACAATGCTCCTCCGTCGGTTCATGACGGTTCCCAGCCTTTTAAGGCCACCCAGGGGTGTATTGTGCCGGGGCTCGGGTGCTACGAGAAGGGCGTCAGAACTCCACATCGAGCGAATGGCACCAGAATACGGGGCTAGAGCAGTCGAAGATGCAAGATATGCTCACCTGGAGGCGTCCTAACTGGACCCGAATGTTCCGATCGCTGACTAGCAGCATCATCCTGCAGGCGTGGAGGCGGCGACAGAGGTGCTACTGGGGGAGGCGAGGTAGTTTGTTGTCTCCTCGGAGCGACGGGTCTTCCTCCATTGATTTTGGCAGCAAACGTCTTAATCTCATCTGCAGTCTCTACGTTCAGAAGAACGTTCAGACAGCTTTCAGCAGCCTGACGGCATCGCTCAACCTGATCCGT